CACAGCAAAGTAGGGTGGGAGTTGCTCTTTCCATGCAACAAGCTTGTTGTCCATCTCGATCACCATATCGTACGACGCAGGATATAAACCGAAGCACCGGTCTTGAATTTCGCCTGCAATTTTACCTAGATCACTGCCAAGGATTGTGACTGTGCTCATTGTGGGATAGCTCAATGCATGAGCTGTAGCAGTAGAGGACTCTTCATCAGTCAATCCATCCAGCCACACATTTTCGGGTGCTTTGATAAGACACATATGATCCGAGATCGCATACGGCCTGCCGAGAGCAAGGGCAATAGTCTTGTCAAGCAAGTACAGATTGCTCCAGAGGCGTCTTCTAGTTTCAGTAGCTTTTCTCGACAACCCCCATTTTTCTCCGTCTATATGCATGCCTTGGGCTTGGGCCATGCGCATGGCAAAGCTGATGGTGAGCCAACTCTCTGTGACTTGTCTGGTGTATAACAGATATCGCGTAACCATTAACCCTGCTCTGACAAGATCTAAACTCTCGCCATGGAAAGAGGGTGAGATAACAATCGCTCTTCTGGCAGCCCAGTAGAAACGAAGAGAGGCTTCTTCGCTTTCTTTCCGCTTCTCGGGCGAAGAGGTCGTAGGACCGTCCAAGAGCACACTAAAGGCGAGAATGATGAACAGAAGAGCAAGCCAGCGAAGATCTACTCCCGCAATTTCGTCGAATCCAAATTTTCGGCCCCAGAATTCTGCAAATTGAGATCTGAAGGTGTCGGGGTGAACAGTGTCGATAGCCCAGTTGATCTCAGTTAGGAATTTCTCGATTAGCCGATCGACGGTCACTTTATTTCGTGGTAAGAGGCCAAGTAAATCCCAAACCTGCGAAAAGGGCCCAGAGTCATTTCGAAACGATTGCAGAGAATCTTTGCTAGATAGTAAGCTCATAGGGGGCAGATCGGGAGCTGACTCCTGAATCATGCGGGCTGCCACCTGATGGCCAAAGTATGAATTACCGAAGAAGCTAGGTGCTCCCCGGGCAATATACAACTGCCCCAACTCTGTGTCCTGGGTCTCTGCTATAGGACTTCACTGTTAACCGTGATCTACGTTTTGACAGTGGGAATATCCCGTAACTGCTGTGTTCACTCTTTCTGGTGGCATCGCATGGCCCTTTTCTTTTTCCGGCCATTGACATAGTTGAGGAACCCCACGCTGGATACAGCGAGAACAAGGCAGTTCTCGGTTACATTTCTGCTTCCTGGAGTGACATTGGGAACATGAAGTTGTTTTTCTCCCCCGTCTTGCTCTAGGACGAGAGTCGAGTGCCACATTGTTTCTCTTTCTTCCATTGGTGCTCATTGTTTCATTATAGATACCCAAGCAGCCAGTAGTCAGGAGTTGTTGGATTGTACTTAAGTAGAAAACAGAAGGGGAGGAACCCGAGGTCTTCCAATTTTAGCCTTAGGGATCAGGCCTACAGAGGTGCTCGATAGCATGGAGTTTATCCTATTTAGTTCCCAATGTCACAAGAATTAAACAAATTTATGGCTCTATTTGACCATGATAGATTGATTATTAGTATTATTATTCTAGAAAAGCCTCTACTAAACATATTATAGTCTTTGTAAGCCCGCATAACTATCTGCCTTAGTTAAATGTTAGGCCTTACTTTCAGCCCTCGGGGTATGTAAAGGGCCAGGGTGGGCTCATCAGAGTGACATAAAGGAACTGAGAGAAGGTATCTGGGTAATAATCAAATCGAAAGAAAAGATGAATACATACTATGTACTCCGTTTGAGTAGTATGTATGGGAAAAGAAGCATTGGAAGTATGAAAGTGGCCCTGGAACCCGGTTGTGATGCTGAGTCATCTGACGTCAAGCCCGGGCGCGTTGTTTACTTTTTGGCCTCGCTTCGACTTTTGATGCTTCCCCACACCCTGTCTCGACCCATTAACCCCCCTGCACTGCTTCTTCGGGCTATTACAGTCTTTTGATATTTGTTGATTCCTTGCATTTGCGCCTTCAATCATGGCGGTTCGCCGTTCCGCGCGCATTCGTCGTGCCCAGAGCACCCCGGAGGTGAGTAACATGGCAACAACGCTTGTTGTGGGACAGCTTGAGGTCCTCACAACTGTTGAAATCGCAGTAAACTAATTTTCATTTTTCTATTCAGGTTGAAGAGACCCCTCAGCCGGTCGCAGCTTCCAGACTTCAATCTGTTGCAGAAGGCGAGGAGACTGACAGCTCCGAACTCCCACACGTCCAAACCCCCCTTGCGAAAACTCCCTCCCAGAAAACTCCTCGTGCATCTGTCCAACGAAAGCGCGCTAGCATGACGACCCCCACTAGTGTGACTGCGGCCCGTCCATCTTGCGAAGAAATGCATCCCAGCAAGGCGCAACAGAGCACAACCAAACACGCAGACTCGGGCCTGCTCCTCGGGTTCAATCCCGTTAAGAAAGATGCCAATGGAAATGTGGTCAAGCTCGGAATCAGTGACGACACCCCAACCAAATCCAAGGCGTCTCCAGCGACCGATCAGTTTGGGACCCCAGGATTCGAATACAAGTTTCACTCCCAGGAGACCGAACTCAGCGACGAGGCGAAACTGCTGATGGAAAGCGTCCGTGCTGATGCTGCTCGAATCAAGGCCCAAATGATTCAGGGCAACTCGGAGCAAGAACATGAAAATCACAAGACCGAACAAATTCATGGAGACCGAAAGATCGCTATGCCAAAGGGCAAGACCAACCGCTTCAGCGACATCCATATGGCCGAATTCAGAAAGATGGACTCCATTGCCGGGCATGCTTCATCTTTCCGTGCTACTCCCGGTCGCTTCCAGCCTGTTTCCAAGTCCCTGAAGCGGTCCAAGTCCAAGGCGCAGCTTGACGAACCAGAGAGCCAGAATTCGTCCCCTTCCCGCTCTTCCTCTAAGATCTCAAACCTGTCCACTCCCACGGCCGCTACAACAGCTAAGCGTGTCAAACACAACCAAAACGAAGATACATCCACTCGTCATGAATCAAAGGAGCAAACGCAGAAGGTCGAAACCCCTCGCCGACCTGCAGGTCCTCGTCCTCGCCCTCGCACAAGCGTTCGCAGTTCCCTCATGACTCCCACACATGCTTCGCTTGCTCGTACGACCTCTACTAGTATCAAAGCACCGAGGACCTCAATGATTCCATCCTTGAAATTATCTCCGGCTGCCAAAACAATGGCCTCACCTCGAACTCCTCGGACTGATTTCAACCCACGCCTCAAGAGCAAATTGCCCACCCTTGGTAGCCTGAGATCTATTCTTCGTCGGCGCCAACCACTCTTCTCCCGCGACCCCGCCAAAATTGCGTCTGGTACCCACGTTGCGGCACCCGATTTCAATCCCAAGTCGCTCTTTGGAGGAGCTGGGGATATGAGCGACTCCGCTCCAACCCCTTCACCAAAGAAGCACGTTGAATTCACTCCGAGCGTCAAGTCTCGTCACGAACTTGCTGTTGCTTCACCCTCTCCTTCCAAGGGGTCTTCCGCTCAGCGTCGTTCCATGGCCGGAGATGTAGTCTATCCCACTCTTCCGGCTCTCACTCCCGAGAAGAACTCGGCTGCCAAAACGTCCACTACTCCTACTTCTGAATTCAAGTCCATTCGTCATGTTCGCAAGTCGAATGCCGGCGAACAGCCCGCTCCATATCAGGAGCTTCCCGTGGTGACTCATGGCATTGCTCATGGCATTGTCAATAAAAAGAGGCACCGCAGCGAAGTTAACGACGAAGATGCTCCTATCACTGCAAATACTGAGAATGTGCCGCCTACCGATGTGCAGTCTGATGAACGCAGCAGCAAGAGGTTCAAGTCCAACCCGCCTACTCCAAGCCCGGTTAAGAAACGTCTTACCAAAACTCCCGTGCGTCCTTCTGGCCAGATTGGCACTCCCGCTAGCAAGCAAAAGAGTCGTGCGGTTCTCAGCATGAGCCGCCTCAACATGCTTTCGAAACCGAAGAGACAAGCCTAAACATGCAATGACCTGATGAGCACCCACCTGGCGCGTTAGGCCGCGTCTCTGATGAATTGTTTTTTTTTTCAGCCTTATGATCAACCTACCTATGTAGTACCTTCTTTTTTTTTGTTACTGCCTTTTTCTCCTTTCTGGGCCCTTGCGGTCCAGCCCACGCCGCAGTAATGCTCTTCTGCGGTGTCAACGAACCAACATTTCCATTCTTGATTTGTATCTACACTAACATTTTTGGGGTCTTCGGACCCTCCCCACCTTACGGAATATCTTCGTTTCGTATCTGGTGCTGTTTTTGTTCTTTTCTTTCTCTCCCTGTTCCTCGGGTAACCCTTTTGTGGGAAATACGGCGTTTGCTATTCTTTGGGGCTATTACTATTGGAAAGGTGCCACGGGGTTTTTGTTTCTGTGTATCTATTGTCAATGGAAATCTTGAAATCAAATAAATTCTGTGATACAGGTTGTGGACACATTAAAAGTATGGTCAATTGTGTGCATTCTCAACTATCGATGTCCCCAACAACGTAGAGTGGACAATCCACCAATTTACACCACCTATGGATTACGAAGGAAAAGATATGAAAGTTGCGGATGGATCAAAGGATTTGCTATGTACAACATACAGAAATTAGAATCTCCATCCATCGTGGAGATCAAAAAGCTAGCAATACATGAAGGGTTCGAAGAGTAGAAAGAAGAACGAGTAGAAATCAGAGGGCCTTCCCAGCGGTGGAACAAATACTAAATAAGCGATTATGCTCCAGTCTGCGTTGCAGACAAGAGCCTCCATGGTATAGGACGGAGATTGGTACAGTGACATTAAGCATGACGATCATTTGGGGGTTGTGAAGATATGGGGTAATTTTCGGGGAGGGTTGAGTCGAAGGAGTAGGAAAGTGTGAATCAGACGCAGGGGAACGGAAAATAGTAGTAGACATGCATACGAGATGCAAACAAAGCGAGATAGAGATCGAGCCTGGACGGTAGAAAGGTTCGAGTCGGGGATGGGCGGCGCAGTAGGTATCAGTTTTTCATGGTTTCCAGGAAAGAATCCAGGTTGTATTCTTCCTGGTACTGGCGGTCATCCCAGAGCTCGCCCAGGTCATCTAGCCAGCCCTTCTTGCCCTTCTCCTTGACCTCGCCGTCAATATCGACCATGTCGACTTCATTGCCGGCTGTGTCGCTAGGCTTCTCGGCTGTGTCTGCCGTTTCGCCCAGATTGAACAGGTCAAGCAGTTGATCTGTGTCCATTGTTCCGAGCCCGGCGTTCTGTTGATTGACCACGGTCGAGGCGACGTCGATCTTGAATCGTTGCAAGCTGTGGCGGGGTTCATGTTAGTTTCTATCCATCTGCGGGGTTCTTGTGGAATGATAATAACTTACTTCAGGATCTTCTCCTCCAGGGTGCCCCGCGTGATCAGGCGGTACACGTTGACAACCTTCTTTTGGCCGATACGATGAGCACGGTCCATAGCCTGGATATCTTTCTGCGGGTTCCAGTCGTGCTCCACGAAAATGACGGTATCTGCACCAGTAAGGTTGAGACCCAGTCCACCAACACTGGTGGTCAGGAGTAAAACGTCATAACTGGGATCGGTGTTGAACCGGTTAACGATATCCTGGCGCTTGGTTGCTTCCACGCCTCCATCAAGGCGAAGATATTGAACAGATGGGAGGAGTTTCTTGAGCACATCGTTCTGCACAATGTCCAGCATCTCCTTCATCTGACAGAACACAAGGGCCCGGTGGGGGCTGACATAGCTTGCACCTGTGTCCAGTTCACCCTCTGCTGTATGGTCAAGGCCAATGCCGCAATCCACCAGTAAATCTTTCAGGGCGTTTAGCTTGGGTGCGTGGGAAAGGTCTCTGATGTTTGAACGCTTGGCAGTTAGGAAGGTTTGCACCTCGTCGTACTGCTTGTGGCCTTCCTTGACAACCAAGGCAGGAGAGTTACATAGACGTCGCATGTATTGGAGCGCCTGGAAGATATGCTCTTTGTCGCCTCGGTCTGCGCTGCCCACTTTGTCTGCCAACTCCTTCTGCTCCTTCTTGGAGAAGTCCTCGAACAATTTCTTCTGCAGTTCACTTGGGTCGCAGTAGTAGTTCTGGATAATCTTGGGAGGGAGGTCGTTCAAGACTTCCTCTTTCAGACGTCGGAGTAGGAATGGCAGGACCTGTTTGTGCAGTGCCTCGATTGCCAAAGCACCTGCCTCTTGTTCCTTGGAAGAAGATTTGCTGAAACGGCTCGCTGCAATGGGCTTGGCAAACCGATCCAAGAAGACTTTCTCTGTTCCCAAGAAACCGGGCATCAAGAAGTCAAACAACGACCACAGTTCGAGGACGTTATTCTGGATTGGAGTACCAGACAAGATCAAACGGTGATTGCTCGCTAACTTTTTAACTGAAGTTGTGATCTTGGCCTTGGGGTTCTTGATAAGATGGCCTTCGTCGAGCACGCAGTAATTGAAGTTGATAGGCGAGAGGATATCATTGTCGTTGCGGCAAACATCATAGGAAGTTACAATGACATCCGCGGTGGCCAGCAGTGGTTGAAGTCTCGACCGTTCTGCAGGAGGGCCAACGTATGCAATGCAGCTGAGGAATGGAGCATACTGCTTAACTTCCTGCTGCCAATGTCCAGACAGAGAAGGCGGGCAGACAATCAAAGAAGGCAGTTTTCGAGAGTCCGTCGACTGACTCTTGGCGAACTCCTCCGCTCGCATATGGTGGTCACTTGCCACGATGCAAATAGTTTGCAGGGTCTTTCCAAGACCCATGTCGTCGCAAAGAATACCATGGAGATTGTAGCGATTGAGGAAGGCAAGCCAGTTGACACCATCCTGCTGGTAAGGTCGAAGCTCAGCCTTGATAGCGACTGGAATTTCGAATGGCTCAACCTTACGCACGTCCAGCATCTGGGACATAAACTTCCTCTCTCGGTCACGGCCCTTGAGTAGCTCTTCCGAGAAGCCAGGGGGGTCGGGAATACCGGCCTCCAGGGGAACCAGTTTGACAAGAGTGGCGAATGATGTTGTTGCTAGAAGACGCACATCGTTGTCGGAGTCGCTCATTCGGCCAAGGACAGGAACCACGAGGAAGATGACATAGGGGAGAATTCCATCTTCCATAACATGGATCAGATGATAGATGCACTCAATCGCACCTTGGCGGTGATTGACATCCAACCCATTGTTAATAATCGGCAAGACCTTTTCAACCAGCATTGTCATACCCTTAACGGTGATGACACTACAAATTGTAGCGAAACATTTGGCTGCCGCGTAGCGAATGACAGAAAGTCGGCACTGCAAACCCTTGGCGATAATCGGCATAAGGTCGATAACCCATTCGTGGAGACCGGGATGGAACTTGGGCAGCAGAGCCCGCAGTGTAGACAGACCATCCACGATTTCTTGGCCAAGTTCATTCTCTGGGTTAGTGATGTCCTCGGGAAGTTCATCTTCTGCCAAAGCATCTCTCAGTGGCCGTTCAACCAATTTTGCGAGATTCGGGACCTTCTCCAAAAGCTCAGCACCGAACTTGACTGCCAGCTGCTCCAGCGCATCCTTGGCACCACGACGCATAATCCGTGCCTCTCTCGCCTCTCTTTCGAATTTGGCCGCATCTGGATGGTCACGTCGGTCTTCTTCTTTGCGTAGCGACAAGATTGATTTTTCCAATTGCGCATTGTGCGGGAACTCAGGTGTCTCAGAAGTGTCCACACAACAGTATTTGACCAAGTTTCCAATGATTTTGTCCACAGGTCCACGCTTCGTGGCAGCTGTGTAGTGTTCTATGAGTCCTGCCACTGCTGTCGCAGAGCGCTGCTGGAGTTCTAAATTCTCCTCTTTCTTGACACTGTCCATCATACCCTTGATGATGTGACCAGGCTTCTTGGGGATATCCCGCAACGCGACCAGGGCACCAGCAGTGGCAGCTAGAACACGCATGTCCCGTTGTTCCCTCATCATTCTTGCCTCCTCGACGGCGGATTGTGCAGTTGTACGAGTATCATTCAAGACTTGCGTAGCAGTGATTCGTTGGGCCGGTGTGAGGTTTTTCTTCAGTCGATCAAAGTCAGGACCGACGATTTTCTCGGCATCCGCCAAGGAAAATGCATTAGGTCCGGCTTCTGAGTCGCCCTGAACGACCACGGCCAAGGTTGGCAGCCGAGAGGGTGCCACGTGCGCATGGTCCCGGAAAGTATTCAACAATGAATGGCACTGGGAGCGCGCAACATGAAGGTAGCACGCAATGTCCGCATACCAGGGTGGGCGCTCGCCTTCGAGGATTGGTCTAAGACGATCACACAAAGACGAACGATATTTGCTCTCTGGTCCAGATTGACGAGCATACTCTTCTATGACCATAGCCGAAGCAAGCTGCGTTGTGGAAGCAGAAACATGAAGACCATCCAGAATTGCCGGCCAAAGGCTTGGTAATTCATTCTTGTCCCAGAAAGATATCAGCTCGCCCAACGCCTTCGCGGCATATATCTTGGATCTCAGCATGGTATCTGCACCAACGAGGTCAATGTCACCGGAAAGCATGTGTCCGTCCACATTGTGAGCTGAGGGCGGGGGTTGTTCTTTTTCCTTCTTCTCCGATTTGCGCCTCCGTCCCACCTTGATCTCAGCCCCGCCTGGAATAGAAGCAGGGGGGAGCCTTTGGAAGGTGTGGGAGCTGGGAGAGCGGCGGAGAATGGCAGACCAGACGGTTTGATAAAGAGCGAGGTGTTCATCGGGATGGGGTACCGGGGAACGCCGAAAGCGCCCAGAGTGAGAGTGACAAGAGGCTGAATAGACTCCGATAACTCCTCGTCGGATTTGAATGAGCCGCGCAGCTGAACAGCATTGAGGAGTTCAGACCACACTTGGCCAGACAGTTTCAAAACACCCTCGTTCCGCTCCACGAGAAGATTTTGGAAAATTAAGCGCAATGCCTTGCCATCTACCCAGTCCGTGGTGCGCTCGCCCTCCAGCTTCAAAAATGTCATGAGAGCCCGAAGGACAGCCGAGCGAACGCTGGTGATCGTATGGCGGAGGAATGGGTAGAGACGGGGGACAAGTTTTCCGAATGACGCTTCCAGATCATCTGCAGCGTTGGCCTTCATAGCATCCAAGACTTGAGAGAATGTGCACAGCTTGGCCAAAAGGTCCATCACAGAGCCTGTACTGGCACTAAGATCGTCCTGTAGGTTGGAGAGACAGTCCCAGACGATGTTCATCAGAGGGCCAAGCGTGCCAGTCCGGGAGGACACAAACTCCTCTGCAATAGGAACAAGTGTGGCGGCGCTAACAGCCCGGACATCATCATCATAATCAGCGAGTCCTTTCATGACAGCTTCCAGGACGCCATCCATCATGTTGGAATCATTGACAAGTAAATCCTTTCGAACTGCGACGAGGTACCGCAACCCGATCATACCACCATGGCAGACCTCCCATACGGGGCGGTCCAATCCTAAGTCAGTCTGCATTATGATCCGGTATAGGCATCGGTAGACTGCTCGGACTGAGTTCGGGTGTAGGTGTGATAGAAGGGCACCGAGAGTCTGGCCCACGGTTTCGCGAATCGGCGCAACCACATTGTCTGAAATGTAATCACCGAACCGGTCAAGCATCAGAACGCAGAGTAGTCGGCATGAGAGGTCATCCAGCCACCGGCGGTTGAGTGCATCATTTTCTGAGCGACTTTTTCCATCCAGGCGGCCAGCTGCCACGCCCTGGACCCTGATCACTTCACGCAGGGCCATTGCGGCACCATGTCGAACTTCCCAGTTAGAGTCAAAAATGTCCATAGTCAAGAATTCACACATGTGTTCAAGAGGCCATCCTGCACCCTGCTCCACGATCTCTGGCTGGATATGAGGTCGCTGTGGGGCGGCAGTTCCTTTGAATTCAGAAACAAGCTTGGAATCGTCATCTTCTTCCGTGCGTTCGAAGGAAAAGTAATCAGGTTTTGTGTCGCCGTTCTGATCATCTCCGTTCTCTGCTTTGACAGGATGGGGAGTTGTGGCCATAGGGGTTGTCACAATATCTGACTGTCGACGGGAAGACAAATCCACGACACGGACCTTATTGGCCCCCATCTTGGCATTCTGTTTGTTTTTCCGTTTGAGCTGATTGAGCTGCCGCTTGCTCAGTCCCCCGTCCTCCTTCATCGCACTTTCGCTAGGCGAGGAGGGCCGGCGGGAGGGAGCTTCATGCAGACTCTTCTGGTGAGAGATTGGCGGGATAGTCGGCTCATGCTTTGGGGCAGGAGTTACCACTTTAGGGGCCAATTCAATATCCTCGATCAGGTCTTCTTCAAGGTATTCGCCTTCGAGACCCAACCGTGAGTTCAAAGTCTTCTTTTGGTGCTGCAGGCGTGAAGCTGGTTCCATGGACGCTAGGGAGTATTCATACTCCTTGCCCGCACTGCCAAGCAGCCGCTTACCGTATTTTAATACGGAAGGGATGTCCAAGGTGTCAAGTTTGAGGAAATCATCAGCTAGGGTTAGCTCTTCGGATTTGACCTCGGACTTGATCTCCACATCATCTTCGTCTGCTGCAGACTTAATCTGCAGTCCATCATCCTCGTTTGGATCATAAATCTCTGCGTTGGAGACAATCAGTCCAATAGCTTTGGCGGAAGCCGTCCTTGTATCCCAGGACTTGGATCTGAGGTAAGGCAGGATGCGCCCGAGTAGATTAAACAGCTCATCTGGATGCTGTTTCTGTACATCTGCAAGCTGCTGAGCAGCAGTATTACGAATCAACTGAGTGCTGCCCGTCTCGAGTAGCCTGTATTGTCATTGGTCAGTGGTTAGTTGCTTCACGTGATTGCACGCATTTGGGTCAAAATACTCACGTGACGAGACGGTCGAGTCTAAACCGGGTTAGTTTCACGTGACAGGCGCGTAGTGATTGGTTGAAGGGGCTTACCGGGAAGCCATCGCGGGTCTTCACTTTTCTCCCGACTATGCGGCACAATTTGATTAAGGAAAAAAAAAAGAGAATACCGCAAAGAAAAGAGCAATTGCGCGCGACAAAGCGCGCAATTAGGGTGGAAGGACCTCGATATGAAAAACAAAGACCAAACGCCCAACACCTCAAGCCGCGATGCTGAGTCAGCGGGGGGATTTAGATTTAGTACACAAGAGCGAGGGTCGAGGTCACGCAGCCGGGTTTATATCATTGGGGGTGCTTCTGCCCGGCGCGCTGGTCCATGTTTGGGTCACTCCGCCTAGGCCGTTTGTGGTTTAGCGCGGGCGGTGGGCTTCCACTCACAGCGCGCCGATTTTTTTTCTGCTGTTGGAACGATCACGTGAGTCCATGAAACGCGTTGGATGACATAGAGCATTTAGATTGATCAAAAATACCCAGTTCAATGTATTGGAAGATATTGTGATGGACTGAACTTCCGTGAACAATTTAAGTAAAGGGTTATTTGAAAATTCGTTCAAGCTTTGAAGGAAGGAGGGAGTAATGCCAAGACATGCCAGATGGCCTCTTCAGAGTTCAAGGAATCATGAAGATCAGCAGTGCATGTACGTTGATGTAGGCAATAGTTTTACATAGGTATTATATTTCAAAGATAGATGATCAGATCGTGGGGTAAGGGGTGATGTCTTTCTATACTTATATATAACCGTATATAAGGTGTCAATCCAATTTATTCGCGATCCAAATGCATCAATACACCTGCTGAACTATATATATCCGCCATATAGATTCTCATCAGCAATAATCCTATTTCTTTCATGCATTCCTTTCTTACTTCTCCCCCTCAAGCAGAGCATATAAATCATGCCTATGACTCTAAATATTTGTTATAAAGACAGCCAAGGGCTTATGGCGTCATACAATCTTCAAAGTATAATTCCCTGAAGTACTGCAAGACAAAACTAGCGATACAAAGAACACCGGGATAAGCGGCTAGGCGCGTGGGACTGGTAATTCGACTAATTTCCCTGTGCTCAATCACAGCTCATGCTTATCTCGTCAATTAGACTTCTGAGATCGGGTATATCTCGTCCTACATGCCGGCATCTGCCGTTTCGGAAATCCATTATGGATTAAGCACATAGAAATTAAAGATAAAAGCACCGTTTGTCGTTCAATTGGAGTATCATTTCTCACTGACAGACCTGAAAGCCAACCAGCTGAGCGTTTCTATACAGTCACAGGCTCCGGGCAAAAGTCCCGAGGCGGAAACACGGAATCACACGCATTGTAAAAGAATAAGCAAATCCTTCCCATTCACCGTTGGCTCAGCAAATTGGCTGCCTCCTCTTCCTTCCCAAGCAGACCCAAGCTTCGGATTTGCTCAGCCTTGGGGGCATTCTCTCGCGGGTGTGCGGCCTCAGCCTTGCGATAGGCAGCTTGCATCTTCATAGTACGGAGAGCCTGTTGTTCCAATTTCCCATTATTAGACTCAGGTCCATCATTCAAGTGTACGGGTATCTAGATCGAACGGGGATTGCCCTTACCTCTTTCCGGTGGTGAAGGCACTCATAGTAATCGTCCAGGGCGGGCACACACTTCTTCTTGCCGCTCGCACCATCGCCCGAGTTCACCACGTAGCAACCAAGAACCTCTTGCCAGAAGGGATAGCAGCGGCCGGGACCTAGAAAAAGCCATAGTATGTTAGCCGGTTTTATTCGTGGGGGGAGGGAACTGCGTGCGCAAGGTGTGATCCGAGGGCATGTCGGCGCGGACCCGAGCAGGTTCTCCGGGGAGGGGGAAAATGAGCACATACCACCGTTGTTACCGTAACCGGAAGCCATTGTGATGTGTAGAAGAAGTTAATTGAGTAAGTGGTAGGCACAGAGACCGCGAAAAAGGTAGTGATGAAGTGCCGGTGGATGCGACTCTTCCCTTTCGTTTCCGACTTGGTCTGTGCGCCCCGCCGTATGCAACATGGTCATCGCCAACTATGAGGCCACCTCACTGGACTGCCTCGTCTCTTTAGCTTGATCATGGCTCTCGAAGAGCTGTCTGATGCGCATGCTATTCTACTAGCTACACAACTCTGTGTAGCTGGTAATGTGGCAGATTTGCCTATTCTACAGGCCCGGTTTCCCCATTGTTTCCCGTTGGAACGCCTCCTGCGCATTATCTTGACCTTTCTCCCAGAAAGCACGGAGCCCTCTCAGTACATCCCGGTGCTACAAGAGCTAGCAAATAGCTCTAATTTGCCATCCGACCGACCGATCAATACCTCTGCCGTGCAGGACTTGTCCGAATCACTTGCAAGAAAGCGCGTGCGGAAGCTTCATTTACGGCCACTACAACGCCCTGACGAGGAAGACGAGATAGCTTCAGCAGATCCTTTGACCCAATTCCTTATCCACCGAGCACATCTGATCGATTCGGAAACAGCACTCCAGCCTCTTATCCTCGAACTTATCACCCCGTTCTACGAGAACTCGCCAGTCGTTCGAACATGGCTGATATCGAGCCTATTACCATTGCTTCGACTGAACTACGAATTCTACGCCCATCGCGACGAAACTATATCTCTTGAGATCCTGGAGTCTATGGACGATCAAACCGCGGTCAACATTCTCCTGTCTTTGATGAGCTCCGAAGAAAGCAACATGGACTTGGTCAACAACTTGAGGGGTCTGATTGGACCTTGGCTGTATGGTGGTAATCGGTCAAAACGACGAAGGCTTAACGAAGCAGCTCGGCAAAGTTCGGTCTCTTTCATTGAAGGCTCCGAGAAACCTCAAGCAACCGAATTGGCTGGATGGGAACACGTGAACGAATGGCTGCTGTCGCGAAGTCTTGTCGACCGCGACAGCGTTGTGAGCGCCTATACCCACTGGGGTGGACCATCAGATGTGGACTTAGGGGGATACGACAATGCTGGCAGGCAATTATCCGAACAGCAGGCGAGGGATTTACAGGTTCGATACGGCCAGTCCGGTCTTGCTGTGGTGTATGCCCATGCAGACTCCTCGATGGCTGCACTGGAGGGCTCGTTCCAGGTCTTGACGAGGGTCGCGAAGCTCCTCGATCTTGAAGATAGCTCGTACCTCACTTCTGATTCAGAACTGCCATCTGTGCACTATGACACCGAGTCAATCTCCTCGACATCCCGCGCATCTCTATTGCAGAACGCCCTTCTGAGGCCGACGAATCCTCTTACAAAACCGTCTCCTCCGTCGATCTCATTTCTTAGCGCTTTGCTTCTTTCCCTTCGTATACTGACCGAGCTTGGTCATCTGGTTCCCTGTCGGATTGCGGCAAATATGTGCCTCCACAGCACCGAGGAAATGCAATTGGCCGAACTCAAAAACGTGGTGAATTCTACTGTGAAGCAACCGAATGTAAACCAAGACTGGTCTATGGTTCGACAGCGATTGCTTTGGCTTCGAGATTGGCAGGCGGAACAGTCCGACAACGCCTGGGATGAACCTTCACCATACCATGGACTTTTCTGGCGAGTTCCGCGCGACACAGTTGAAACGGAGATCTTGAAGGCGCTGCTGGCAGCTAAAGGTAATTTGACTCAAATTCATTATTTTTCTCTCAATACTGACGTTATTTCTAGAGTATCAATTGGCTATTGATATATACACCAACTCTAAAACAGCGCCACTTAATCCTGCCCAAGTGGAAGCTGCGGTACAAGAGGCCATATTCACAGCGTACGATAATGCAAGCAACGGAAATCGAACCCGGGGTGGGATGAAGAGAGCTTATGACATGTAAGTGGTGCTACTAGAAGAGGATATATGGACTCATTACTGACAGTACTTTAGTCTACAATCGTTTGCCTCACACTTCCCAGAGTCTGTTATATTTAAGGAGATCTATGCCCTCATCGCCGCAACACACGCACTCTCATACTATTCGCTGACCTTGCAACACGGTGTTCCATTCCAACCTGTTAGCATTCGTGTCCATCACGATCCCATCCTCTTGATTGAGAAAGTACTTGAGCAAAACCCAAAGAGCTACACCAAACTAGACGATCTTCTCTCAATTGGACGAAACCTAGTAGCTGCAGGCGTTCCTACACAAGCGGCATCACACGAAGCCGAAGATGAGTCAACTCACCACAAACCCTCAAAGGAGCACGCCCTCCTCACAGCAGAACGCCGTATCACCTCCCTAGCAATTGCCTCCGCTCTATCCTCCAACGATTTCGGCACTGCCTACTCCTACATCCTAACCCGACTAACACCCCCTTCTCTCCTCTCAACCTCCTCCCCTCTTTTAAACACCACCTCCGTCCCTGACGACATCACCTGGCGCGCCGTCTACAACGCAGGCCGCTACCGCGCCACAACACCAACCCACCCACCGCCAACCCTCCAATCCCAAATCTCGCATCTCTCCCAGCGAATGGAACTCCTCTCTCTCGCACTCGTCCTCGTCCCATCTCCAGACCCACTCCCGGAAATCCTCGGCGCGTGGCGTCGCTGCGACGAAGAACTCACCTCACTGCGCGCGCGTGAGCAGCAAGAAGAAGACCTCTGGGATAGAAAAGGCGACACACTGGCCTCCGTCCCGGGCGGATTCGGGCCCTCGGATTCGGAGCGTGACGCCTTTGACACGGAGCAGCAGCGTGCTGCGCGCCGTGCGCGTGCTGCAATGCCGAACTCTCACCGCCACGAAGCGCCCATGGGTCTATTTGAGGTTGCTCGTGGTGCGGCTTTGGCGCTGCATAAAAATGCTTTCCCATTGAGGGGCGCAGCTGATAGCTCGGCGCCGGTCGTTACTCAGGATAATGACCGACCCCTGTCGCCGGATAGCGAGGGTCGTGTTAGGAAGAGGGATATGGTTAGCAATATGATGACTGGGGGCTTAGTTAGTGGGATCGGTTGGGTTCTTGGTGCCGATCCGGTGAGCAAGAAGTAGGAAAAGTGGGGAAAATATGGGGTTGCGAGTAACTGGAGGTTGGAACACCTTGCAGTTGCTTCTGTGGTTGAGGAGGATGCGT